AAATAATTTACTAAACTATGCAAATTAATTATGAAAAAATAAAATCCTTAGCAGAAGAACTTTGACATAAGTAATTGCTGCATATGCAGAACTGATAAAGTCAAAATGAACCATTTTTGCTTTATAAATTTTAAACATTACTTAGATTTTTGTTATGAACTTTGGCCCTGACCCTATTATGAGATTCAGGCGGGTTAAGCCTAGAGTCTGCACAGAACTCTGACATCGCACAGAACAAGCTGCAAAATCAGGGCCAATGGGGAAGACCTTTAGTTGGTATATAGTTATAGCTCTATTGAAGTCAAGCTGAGAACCTGCCCCTTAGTTTTGAAAATCCCTTCCTTGAGCGTGTATTTATAGACATACCATGAACTGCTGGAAACCTATGTTTATAAACGAATAACTGGTGTAACTTTTACTCTTGCATACATACAGATATGTAATTATAGGCCTGAAAAGGCCTCAAAGAGCAAGGCCTGCAGGATCAAGCCATCTTAGTTACACTGAAATGAACTCCAAACCTCCCCCATTGACTTCAGAGGGATCAAAATGATTCACATAAATAGCCATCATACTATGCGCTACATACCTGGTTTCACTCAGTAACTCAAAAAGGTACTATCACTAAAATCTCTGAGTCATTAGTGTTTTTGTGTCTCATCTTTGTGAAAACCAGTAACAAACCACCGAAAAAAGAAAAAGAAAAATCTTCCCACCAACATCACCTCAAAAAGATAAGTAACATTTATGTGCATGCTGATTTTTCCCATTTTATTTGGCAATCATTTACTTTCCACTTCCTTTCTGGTGATATAGAAACCGGCATGGGTTCATTTTATCTCCTTCTTTGATGCACACAATTTAGGGAAACAGCGTGTGTTAATTACCACAGATTAGAAGGATAAAAGTCACAAATGGGCACAAAAATCTTTCTGTATGTCCTATAAAATATTTGCTATTTTAATAATTTATCAGCTGAATAGCATATTATTGTTATACTTGGAGATGTTAATGGTTGCCATCAATCAAAAAGCTGGTTAAAGCTGATGGGTGGTACTACGCACCTTTCATTCAGGCTAAATGGAAGAAGAAATAAAATGCCCTATTGTGTGGTGACAGTTGAAACTATAAAAGCCACCACCCAAGGCCTCAGCAGCATGACAAGGCCTGAGTAGAAGCTAAACCACATGGTCTGAGGTGTTTTCCTGGGGACTGATTGCAAATCCAATACAAGTGCTGGTGGATTGATTGGTTGCAGCTATGTGCACGAGGGGCAGAAAGCAACTAGAAAGCCAAGGGGAAGTGAGAAGAAAGCAAGAAAAGCAGTAAGTGTGGCCTTGGGAGAAAGTCAAGAGAAAGGGATTCCTTTGGGCATAATACTTTCTGGAAAGGCAGGCTTGGATTTCTGAACAAGGAAACTGCCCCCTTTTGTTTGTTCCTATGGAATTCAGGAAAACAGGACTTTGTGTTCATTCGTTGTAAATAAACAGAACTGCACCAGAAAAATACCTGGCTTATATCATCAACTTCTCCTAATGGAAACAACCCAGCCAGACTCCAAATATTGACCAACCACTTGAGGCAATTGTGGTATAAAAGGGGAAACATTATTTAAAGAAAAAGTCTGGAACACAGTGGATTTCAGGTAGGTCAAATTGTGAGTATAATACTTTAATTTATTCACCAAAAGCATAATTTCTATTACATTTTTCTGCTAAGTAAAACTATGTTAATTAAGATGAACACTGTCATATTTCATGACTGTAATGTCACAGCAATGAACTGTAACTTTTTGATAACACGAAACCATAAAATAATACTTTATTATTACTGAATTCATGTGAACAAGGTTCCACTTGAAAATTTGTGTCAGAAGAATTGCCATTGTGTTTTTTAACAAGAGTTTTTTACAATTAACTTAGTAACAAAAGCTATACAAATGAAATCTTCATACCTTCATCTTGGGGATTTAAAGTAAAGTTTCCTTCATTAAAAAAATGAGGATTGATATAGCTTAAAACACAATGTTCTGTATGTTTCATTAAAAATAAAAAAACTGAAAAACTTTAATTTTACTTGTGTTGAGCTTGAGATAAAAGTGGGAAATGAATTTGATGACATTTGCGCAAATATCTTGTCTCATGCTATAAATGATGAACAGATAGAAACAGCTGTAAGAATGCTAAATATCAACTTTTAAGGAAAAATATATTTGCCTGCTTTTAAATATCATCCCCAATAAGAATGAATACACAGTGCACCACACTGTAATGGGCTGCAAGAAAAAAAACCTCAGAAATAGTATGAGAAAGCTCTTCTCAATTTCTGTCTCATACTGCTTGCCTTCGAATTAAAGCTGGGCAGGCTCTATAAAACATGCATCCAAATTAATCTTGACAATCTTCTTGAAAAGCTCTATTAAAGCTCAAAGCTTAAGAGCTTAACAAGTATATAGCTTATGCTTTGAAAAAGAATCAAAAAGCCTTAACTTCAAAACTGATCTTACATTCATCTACTTTTTTAATCCATTGGAATACATAAGGGCAACATTTAACATCTGGGTTCATGGTTTTAGAAAAATCTTCAATATGGTGACAAAAAGTTAGAGATTTTGTTCTCTCTCTCAAGAAAACTTTTGTAAAGATGGTAACATTCCATGCAGGGGGAAAACCTTATGAAGGAGATAAAGCCTCATGGGGCATAATGAAACAAAGAAATGAATGATACAATGTTCGTAGAAAGAAAAGACAGAAATATAAGAAGTGAAAACGTTGAGAGACATTGTAAATGTTTATACAATAGAAAGACTTAAAAAGCAGAGAATTAATTCCCAAAACTAGTGAATTATTGAGAAATTAGAGGATTGGTAGGTAGAGCTACCCACCCACTAAATCAGAAAGAGAACCAAGAATGGGGGAATGAAACAACCTACTGGCTAGGCTTGCAAGTAGTTCTTAGGAAGCTGGCAATTCCCAGTGTACTCTCAATTCCCTCTTGCTACATATTTTGTCCTACTTGGAAGTTGTTCAGGCCAGTTAATTGTTTTTTGATTCCCAGTTGAAGATATCTATGGGGGAGATTTTCAAAGGCACATACAGCAGCTAGGTACCTAGCTGCCATTTATGTCTCTGAAAATCTTTCCCCCCGCCACTCCTGCCATGAGTTTAATTACAATATTAATCTCTCAGCTATGTCACTCCCTGTCCTTTGTGGAACTATTCCACCTCACATTTATTGTGAAACTGAGGCATTCTGAACAGACTGTCAAATTCCTACACCTTCCCACTGTGACAACTTTCCCTGTTTGTCTAAAGTCATGCTGAAATATTTCTGCTCCAGTTATGGATCTTTGTCATTGTCTGTGCCACCTTAATTTGCCTGCCTCTCCCCCCCCCCCATTATAATACAGTCTTTAACTGTATAATTACATACTATTTTTCCCCCACAGGATCCCTTCTTCTTCCAGAGTCCTCATTGGAATTTTCCAGAGTCAGTTCAGCTTACCTCTACATACATTATATTTTTGAAAGAAAGGGTAAATGTATTTTATATGGTTTTATAATCGTACACTTTAAAAAAAAGAAAATGTGTGAAAAGTAAGTCAGAAACAAAGTAAATTAACCACATGAAACTGTATAATATAAAATATTTGTGATCTCAATGTTAGCAGCCCCACTATGTTACAGTATCAAGAAGTATATATCTTGGTAAATATATGTTTCATCTTAGAACAAAAGAAAACAAAAGTAGAGCAGAAAGGATAATTTGTCAATAAAATGTCTATTCATCAGAGACATTGTTCAGTATTTATTGCACTAATTTTTACTGTTTGCAATACTTCTGTATCATATAGTGCATTTAATTAAAAGGGTCTGGTTTGGAAATACCTTGTAAATAAATTTAATCATAAAATTACTGAAATAGTCATGATTACTTCTGAAAGCAAACTGAAAAACAATCAAAAACAGCAATTAAATAAAATTCATTTCTTTTTGGAAGAGGCCAAATCTGAGAAATCCCTGCTCACCCAAAACTTTATGAGGAGGAGAGAAATGGTGATTCCACCATGTATTTATTCAGCAACTCAGTCATAGCATCCAGTCTCTCACCAATTCCTTGTATGTGACACACAGTGACAAGGACGAGCATTGGAATGGAAATGATTCAGTAGCACTAAAGTCTATGGGAAAGGTTGTTGTCTAGGAAGAAACATGTGATGAAGTATTTAGTGATTAAGTTGCTACCTGTAATCTCACCCTGACCTCAAGTGGTAAATTTCCAGAAAAAGAACGGCAGGGTTTGGCCTTTTAAAACTTATTTCATCAACATAAAACTGACTTCATTCTTTATTGCCATAATATACTTAGTTATTGGGGCATTATGCATTACTAAAGTAAGGCAGATTTATGATGCTTTGAGATGGCTGCAGAAACTGAATCAAATTTGTAAGATTAAATTCAGGTTTGAAGAAGAAGACATCACTTTATGACTTCTTTATATTAGTCCACTGACCCATTCCCCATAGAAGCCTATACAACAAAACTTGGTTTCACTTGCCTTTGTATCTGTTTGACAGAGGAACAAAAATGCACTTTAAAATGAATGATTTCCTAAACAGCATATAAACTAGATTTTTTTTCTACTGGGAATTCATGTATATATTATAATTATAATTCATTTCTTTGATATGTGTTTTCTTTAATGAAGTAGTTTTGAATGACTCTCATAAGTGTTCAGTTTTAAAATGCAAACTGTGTTTTGGTGCAATCTGATGTGGTCCTCTTTGCAAATGATGATGCAAACCAATAACTTACAATTAGAAGATGAACAGTGATGAGACTACTATCTCCAGTGTTCCTCCTTTTTTCTGTATGATATGGCATATAGGTGGTTTAACAACACATTAGAAGAGGAGACAATCAATACACTGCACTCACCAAAAGCCATAAGTGAGGACAGGAGTTTTAATGTATTTTTCAAAAAGTAAACATGTGCCATACCTTTTTAAAAATTCCATATACTCAGTATGCTTGATGAGGCCTGTCCTCATCATTATTGTTTGAAAACATTGCCGATCAATAGCCCAAAGTTTCACATTTACGAGAGCTGGAAAAAACAAGACAAGGGGAAAATTTAATTAGCAAATCTGAAATGTGAAAAACCTTTTGTGAACTGCAGAGGAAATTAATTATTCATGAGAACACGGAAATTACTAGCTTTTACAAACTTAAACTATTAACATAAAATTAATCTACTGGGCAATGGACTGAACATGCACAATCCAAAAACAGATCTAATTTTACTCAAAGATCTCATCATGGTATGTGGGTTTTTGGGAAAATGCCTTAGGAAGAACTGTGTCATCTGAAAGTGTTGGAGTAAATACACATAGGAAGTTTTTACAGTGTATGGTGAAGGAAAGGAAAAAAGGGGCTCTATTAATCACTACAATAAGTTATGTCATATACACTATTACTGATACCACATGATTTGAGAATTGATTTAGACTTATCCATGATTTAGAGGGAGCAAAGTTAAGTAGGATTTGATCCTACTGCCATCAAAGTAAATGGTAAAATTTCCACCGGCGTCAAAGGGTTTTTCAAGAACCCTGTCCTACTATATCTTGATGTTAGAACACTTTTAAAGGGGATGGGGAAACCTGCTTTAATGAGGATTTATCCCCCAAACTTTGGTTTCAGTGTCTATGACAAATTCCAGTGTTTCTCAATCATGGATTATTAAAACACATCATATGCTTTATAGCAGAAGTCCCCAACTAGAGAATGAGGAACACTTGTGGTCCACAAAGCACTTTCATTCATCCACACAGAGCTGGCTGATCTCATGGTGCTGACTCTCTTTCCTATTCTCATCTGTCAAATTGCATTATGAGACAGCTAAAAGTGAATTAAATATTTTTCTTCAGAGGCAAATGCTGTAGTTGCCACAGGGATGTCTCACAATCATAAATGAGAGGGGAGAAGGTCTACACAACAGGAGCTGAGGTGGCTGTACAGTGGCCATGAGACCAACCTCTGTATTAAGAAGCACCTGTACTATGATATTTCTAAAATTCCTGCTGTAGACAGATTAAATGATCATTTGTAGAAATTATTTGTGAAAGTTTAACAGTGACTTCAGAAAATGTACACTACAATTAAAAGTATTACTGTTGTTGCATGTTCAGACAACTGTACTGTCTTATGGGAATAGCAGTGCTCAATGTGAGAGAGGAAAATAATTCATATTAAAGTTGTATTCTCACTTGAAGTGAAAGCACAGATGCAGGCTCCAAAATGGTCCTCTGAGAGTATCACCTCTGACTTGGTTTAGATAATAAATTCAAATTTCATTTTACATACATTAACTTAGAAATTTGGTTATACACAAATTTCTAATGGGGCTGCGCTTAAAAGAATACGTAGAGAATCAGAATTCCTCTTTAAAGAGCACCACACTTCTACTTTTGCTTTTGGGAAGTAACTCAAGCAAACTTCATATCCAGTAGAGGGAAACTATGGGAAATGGAATTAGGCATAAAGAATTCACAAATATTCTTGTGAATAAAAGCCATAAAATCACTTAGCTGATATTCACATCTCCTCTAATTCACAAATATTCATATTTGTGAGTTTTATCAACTATAACATTTGCAGAAAGCAAAAGCATCACAAATACCGGCTCAAATATTTATGAGAAAATACACACCTGCAGTGCTGTAGTGGCCATGTTGAAAATTTTTATTATTTTCACATTAGATTAGTATATAGGGACTAAATTAGAAAAGCCAACGCACAAAATGAGATTAAACTAGCTAGAGACATAAAAGGGTAATAAAAAAACATTCTACAAATACATTAGAAACAAGAGGAAGACCATGGGTAGGCCTGTTACTCAGTGAAGGGGGGTGGGGGGGACACAATACCAGAAAATGTGGAAATGGTAGAAGTGCTAACAGGCTTTTTTGTTTCAGTTTTCACCAAAAAGGTTAGGAGTGACTGGATATCTAACATAGTGAATGCCAGTGAAAATGAGGCTAAAATATGGAAAGAATAAGTTAAAAATTACTTTGACAAGTTAGATGTCTTCAAGTCACCAATGCCTGATGAAATGCATCCTAGAATACTCAAGGAGCTGACTGAGGAGATATCTGAACCATTAGTGATTATCTTCGAGAAGTCACGGAAGACAGGAGAGATTTCAGAGGACTGGAAAAGGGCAAATGTAGTGCCAATCTATAAAAAGGGAAATAAGGACAACCTGGGGAATTACAGGACAGTCAGCTTAACTTCAGTACCCGGAAAGATAACAGAGGAAATAATTAAGCAATCAATTTGCAAACACGTAGAAGATAATAAGGTAATAAGTAAGAGTCAGCATGGATTTGTTAAGAAAAAATCATGTCAAATCAACCTAATAGCTTTCTTTGACAGGGTAACAAGACTTGTGAATGGGAGGAAGTGGTGGATATGGTATATATTGACTTTAGTAAGGCTTTTGATGCTGTCTCACATGACCTTCTCATAAACAAACTAGAGAAGTACAATCTAGATGGTGCTACTATAAAATGGGTGCATAACTGGTTAGAAAATCATTCACAGAGAGTAGTTATCAGTGGTTTCCCAGTCAAGCTGGAAGGGCATATCGAGTGGGGTCCTGCAGGGATCAGTTCTGGCTCCGGTTCTGTTCAATATATTCATCAATGATTTAGATAATGGCATAGAGAGCACACTTATAAAGTTTTCAGAAATACCAAGATGGGAGGGGATGAAAGTGCTTTGGAGGCTAGGATTAAAATTCAAAATGATCTGGACAATCTGGAGAAATCGTCTGAAATAAATAGGATGGAATTCAATAAGGACAAATGCAAAGAACTCCACTTAGGAAGGAACAATCGGTCGCACATATACAAAATGGGAAAGGACTACCTGGAAAAGAGTATTGCAGAAAAGGATATGGGGGTCATAGTGGATCATAAGCTAAATATGAGTGAACAGTGTAACACCGTTCACAAAAAAAACCAAGCGTCATTCTGGGATGTATTAGCAGAAGTGTTGTGAGCAAGACACAAGAAGTAATTCTTCCACTCTACTCTGCGGTGATTAAGACTCAAATGGAGTATTGTGTCCAGTTCTGGGTGCTAAATTTCAGGAAAGATGTGAACAAAATAGAGGAAGTCCAGAGAGGAGCAAAACAATGATTAAAGGTTTAGAAAGCATGAGCTATGAGGGAAGATTGAAAAAATTGTGTTTGTTTAGTCTGGAGAAGAGAAGACTAAGGAGGGACATGATAATGGTTTTCAAGTACATTAGAGGCTGTTTCAAGGAGGAGGGAGGTAAACTGTTCTTGTTAACCTCTGAGGATAGGACAAGAAGCAATGGGCTTAAATTGCAGCAAGGGCGGTTTAGGTTGGACATTAGGAAAAACTTCCTAATTGTCAGAGTGGTTAAGCACTGGAATAAATTGCCTAGGCAGTTGTGAAATCTCCGTCTTTGTCTAACCTGCTCTTAAAAATCTCCGAACATCTGTTAGGGATGGTCTAGATAATGCTTAGGCCTGCCATGAGTGCAGGGGACTGGACTAGATGAGGTCCCTTCCAGTCCTACAATTCTATGATTCTAGATTAATTCAACAAGTATGGAGGTGTGCAGGTAATCTGTGATCAGAAAAAGGGGCTCAAGACTTCTTATAAAGGAAAGATCATCTAAACATCATGAGGCAGAAAACATTGCATGTGTCTTCAAAAATCAATTGCATCTAATCTGGCACCACAAACTATATGCCTTCATCATAATTATATGGTTATTGCATGATGTCACTACAGAGCAAAGTTAAGGCTGTTTGGGTGCATCCTCATCTAAAATCCAAATATTTTAATATTTTGGATTTCTTTTAAGTTTAAGCTTAACTCTGAATTTCCTTGGTTAATAATGCTTGGATTTTGAGATAATTATAATATCTCTAATATATTTTATGTACTCTCAACCATAATTCCACTTTTATTTATTTTTTGTCTGGGAGTTCTCAAAATAAGTTCCTATGTACTCCAAATTCCCAATTCTAGTCAAATGTAATTGAAAATGTGATTTGCCTTTCTGCTAGGCATCGTTTCTCTTCCTAAACAAAACACATTGCTCTCATTCAAATGCAGAATTGTCAGCCATCAATAAGAATATAAAGAGACAGTAAAGAATTATAGTGAACTGCAAATAGAGAAATTCTGAAGGCCATAGATATTGCCAAAACCATATGAGTCAGCGTCCAAGAATGAAAATAAAATATTAATGTGAACAAGAAGAGAGTATGCTCACTCATGATTTTGTAGTGCATAGCTCTGTGGATCTCATCTTCAGAGGTGCAGAGCATCCACAATTCCTATGACTTCTGAAAATAAGACCCTGTATGTTTATGTGACCAAATGTCCCTGAACGCCAGTAATGCTCCAAGATTACACATTAAAATGCTTTAGATATGTGCAAAATAAAACAATTAAAGTTTCATGTAGACAAGGAAGCAATTGCTTTATCTGATAATAGTTATTAACAAATACAATAAAATTCCTGGGTAATTGCCATTTGCATTCACACAGTCTGAATTAATCCAACCCAGATATAGGTCTTTATACCAGCCTATATTTTATATATGTGTACCCTACATCATGTCAACAGTAGTGGCTGACTCATCACATTGTGTGTCCAAAAGGAAGAGAAAATGGAAACTGCTGGTAACAAATGAAATTGCTGGGACTTCGGGTTTGTCTGTCTGTCAGAGCATACAGATTGCGGACAGTTGGGGGTTGAATCAAAGCACACTAATGAACTGTCAGTGTGCATCAGCAAGTTCCACAGGGACAGTCACATCTCAGCTTCATGTGATCAAAATGTTCACATAGACTAGCCCTTAATTCTTGGCAGATATGAGCTAGTGTTACAATTTCTGGTAGAGAGCTGATTTTCAACAACGTACAGTTTTTTTAAAATATCATCACTCTTTTTGAATGAGAAGTACATTTGTGCATCATTTTATTATTTAGACCCTGAAATTCCCTTATATATTAATAAGCAATGCATATGTAAATCTTCAATTAATCTATAGTGATGAGA